TGGGGTGTCTGGTCCCACTCTTCCCTGATGATGCTGGGGTGTCTGGTCCCACTCTTCCCTGATGATGCTGGGGTGTCTGGTCCCACTCTTCCCTGTTACGCCCTCTCTGCCTGCTTTCCTCCTCTGGGGAACCGTGTGACTTCCTAGTCTCAGTGACAGTGGCAGCTCCTCTTCCTCCCCTTCTTTAGGGGGCCACCTTTGGCTCTGCAGCGTTCTTTGCAGTCCATGTAACAGGTCTCACTTCCTAGATAAAAAATGGAGGCCAGAGGGAGCACACAGCAAGTAAGTGGCCAGAACAGCGTGAGAACTATTCAAGACTTTGTTCGGAGACCTCTAAGCTGGACTCAGAAGCCCCCATCTTTACCAGATCTCTGTTTCATTCTTTCCAATACGATTTGTCAGCTCCTCATCACAGAGCAGATGTGGGGAAGGAATTATGTTTATTTCCACAGTGGTGTTTATGTTGGGTACCTTTCTGCAGGAAGTTGCCTGACGCGATACCGATACCTTCCCAGTGTCTTTGGGATGCAGGACCACCTCCCCTCCCCCCCCTAATGCCAAGGCCTGACCCAGCTGGCCCTCACTTTCAGAAGGCATCCGAGGGCCTCCTGTCTATCTGAGGACTTGTGCTCAGTCCTCCCCCTGCTCCCTTGCAGTCGTTTCCCATACCCCAAGTCCTGCCTAACCTGAGTCTGTAAACCATCCTTTGTACTCAGAGTCCTCCTCACATGAGAAACGGAGCAGGAAGCTGGCCACCGAGGAAAGAGGTCCTCCACTTGTAAGGAAAGGGCCAGGCCCTCTTTATCCTTGAAAAACTCACACCCCATGGTGACTCAGTCCGATTTCTACAATGAACAATGAAGAAATCTCCTGTTTTAGTTTCTTGATCTTCCCCTGACCTTGGCGGTCGCCTTCAAAGACATGAGGCTGGTGACGTAGTCCACACCCCCAGAACTTCACATTTCTAACTCTGAAGACACAGGGAGTTTACCCCACCACTCTTTGGTCTGCCAGGCCTGAGCCTTGGCCTGTGGTCCCAGGAGAAAGGCATGCAGAACCCCGTGGTTTAAGTGACCCATTACTTCCCTGTTTCATGGTGGACCCTGAGGTATACAGGAGGGTGGAGACACTTCTTAAACCTGCTCCCCAAACTTGGCGTGTAGGGAGCTTTGAAACCTTCTGTGCCTTGGTTCCTTTATCGGATGAAAGGAATGTTCCAGGCGTTTCCACACTTACCCTTTCACCTGCTGCTTGTTATTAGTCACCTGGTCACTGATGTAGTGAGGACTAATCACTAAGGTTACCTGGGAGCTGCTTCCTTCCTGTTATACCCAGATCACAACCCCAAAGAGACCACCGAAGACCATGGATGTCCAGAATGCAACAGCAAGGTTTATTCTGTAGAGACAAGTCTAGACAGGGAACTCGTTCCTACACCCAATACAGTGAGGCAGGGAGGAGTCACTCTTTCTTTGTGTGGCTAGCTATTTAAAGGCAAAAACCACAAGCCCTTCAGGGCGGTTGGGGGAGGGTTGGGGGTTTTGCACGGGTGCAACTCGGATTGGTTTATTTTTATCTCTGTTCTCTTTGAATTGGGTGAGGCTGTGTAACCTTTGAATTTACTGGTTGGGGGTTACAATTATCATTTTGGGGGCAGTCTGGCACAAGTCCCAGGATTTGTCCTTGAGCTGCCATGGGGGCTGGGTGGCCTACCACGTACTGACTGTGGGGGCTGGTTCAGTGGTCTAAGCTCTGTCCTTGACTCACGCACATAGCTCTAAGTTGGTGAGGGGTCCCAGACAGTAAACATCTGGCTGAACTTTGAGCAGTCAGAGTACGTGTAGAAAGGGAGCTACTGCAAGGACTATGTCTTTTGTTCACGGCCCTCTCAGAGACTGCTTGCTCAGTCTCAGGAAACTGAAATTGAGGCCTGATCTCTGAGAGAAGCCTGAGCAGCCTGTTATGGCATCTGCTCGGTCCTTTCACTCCCCTAAAGTGACAAGACACTAAGCCTAGGCAACTGAACCTCCCTATATACACAGGCTTTGCTGTTGCTGCTCTCTGAGGCCTTCCAGAGGTTTGCTTAGGCTCTCTCCACTTGATGGCCTGGCCGAGGGACAGGGCACTCCAGCTCACTCAGCAGCATGGGCAGGGCCGTGAGAACTGAAGCCAAAGTTACCATGTCAGTCAGACGTCTCACCTTTTCATTGGACTAAACACCCCAAATGGGGAAGGTAGTATTTCCTCCTTTGTACAGCAGTGAGTATCAAACCCAGGGCTAGATAAGCATCCCTGGCCCAGGGGAGGATAGATTTATTCCCTGTGTGGCCAGGAACACTGGCTTATATGAACTAAGTCAAACCTTAAGGGTCAGAGGTGGGGGAGGGGCTTCCTGCCCAAGCCTTTGACTCCTGCATAGCTGCCCGGCTCCCCAAGATGGACTTTTCCCTCACTAGCCCAGGTCTTGAAGCAAGAAGAGAGGACCGTCACAGCCTTACTCAGAACTGCCCTGAGTTAATGCACTCCCCCCCCACCCTCCCACCCCACCCCCACCCCCACCCCTGCCAGTGGAAGTTTCATGCCTGTTCTGTTAGCCTTCTGTGCCTTTCCCAAGACCTCCCTGGACTCTAGCGTGTGGTTTTGGAAATAGCTGGAAGGTATCTGTCAGTCAGTGACAGCACTCTTGTTCATTCCAGATTTGGTGGACAGGCACAATGAGAGTTCAAAGGCGACTCCTCTTCCTGCTGCTGCTTCTGGCTGTCCTCTGTTCCACAGGTGAGTGATCTGGACCCCTAGACTGCCCTTGGTCATGGTGCTCCTTTCTCTTGGGCCTCTGGGAGTGTGAGCTGCTGCCGCTGGCCTCAAGTCCTTCATCAAGGCCTAGCTTTGGTTCCTTTGCTTCGAGTATCCCAGATCCTGCTTGTGTAACAACTCTGATGCTTTGGGGTGCCTTCCATGGGGTGTCTGCCTGAGTTAAAGCCCATCGTAGGTTACAGAACTGTTGTTCGTTTGTTTGTTTTCTTTTTAACGGGTGGAGATCAGGTTTCTCCCTTGTCCCACCACATACTACTTTGGGATTTGAGCAGATGTCATCTTTACAATGCTACACAAGTTCTTTTTTTTGAAAGATCTCAGGTGTGGGATATCAGGGGGACACTGGGTAAGTTGTCCTTTTGGGCAAGAGTTTATTAGAGTTATTAATGCCATGGGTAGACAGACAGACAGCAAGTAGTAGGTGCTCTGATGAGGTAGGTAAAGTGGAGGCACTTTACAGGTCTCAAAGGGGGAAGGTTTCACAGCGTGAGTCTGCAGCCAGGCTGTCTCTGATGTGGAGAATGTGACTTTTGTCACTCCTGAGTCTGGATGCTTCCTTGGGGAAGTGAAAATGGAGCCTGCCTTCCTATTGGACTAGAGGAACCTGGGGTTAGGGGCTCTCAGTGAGGGACATGGTTATTTCCTTTACAGAGGAAAGTAGCAGCAGCAGCACCAGCAGCAGCCTAGCCTGAATGCTAACACCTTTGGGATTCCCCTACAGGCTTTACAGCAGGCAGGAAAAAAACAATCCATGAAGAGACAAGAATGAAACTTGGCTCAGCCAGATTTTGTTACCAGTGCTGGGCCAAGACTTCTTGAGCCTGGCCCAGATCATTTTACTTTAGTCATATTTAAGCACAGCACAGTTTAGAAAAAAAAAAAAAGCATTCATATAACAATTAACTCAGTCCCGAATGCACAATTTAAGGCATGTTTACATTGAGACTCCTTACAAAATACATCGGCTTCTTTCAAAAGAATGGGGACTGTTGACTCAGAGATCGTGCCCAAGATTTAGGGTCTAGGGAGTTTGACTGAGGTAAACCAACACCTGTGGTGTCAGGATTGGCCTGCCCTAAGGTAACGCAGAAGTCACTTAGGCTGTTGTAAGTCTCCAGTGAGATCACTCAGAAGAGTAGGTTTTATGGTCTAAAAGCAATGCTTGAGATTTAGGGGGAAAAGTCTTCTCATATAAGGAACAACATCAATTCTGGGAGACACAGGCAGAGCCTGTCTCTTCAGAGAGCGGGGATCACCAGGGTGTAAAACTACAACATCCCAGGCATTCCCGGAAGAGCAGCTACGCACCTCATTCCACTGAGAGAGGTGAGCTGTGTGTTTAACTTTCCTGGCTTCTCCAGTGCTTGTCTGTGTACCCAAGGCCTTTTTGCCCTCTCCATGCTCTGAGGACAGCCTTCTGAGCTCTGTCCTTCCAACCCACCATTTTCCTGTGCCACCGAGATAGTGGTCATGATGCTTGCAGCAACAGCTAAATAAACTTAATCTTCTGGCATGCACGTGCCTATCTTTAGTCTAAGCATTTTTCACGTATTTACTTACCTAACCCTCTTGCCAATTTAGCAGATTATGTACTTATCTCCTTTTTACAAATGACAAAATTGAGGCCCCAAAGGGTTACGAACTTATGAAATAATGCTCACAAGAAATTTTGAGTGCATGAAATAATACCTAGAAGTAGCATGTCAAAACGTGACCCCAGTCTGCCACCGGAGTTCCTGATTTTCACTCACTGTAGGCCACTCCCAGGCTACTGCGCTAAAAACTATCCATCTCTGGGCGCCCTTCTCCTGGCTTCTGAAGAAAGCTGTTCTTACGCTTCTGGGACAATGGGAACACCCACTTTGTGTTGTGTTATCTTCTGCCCATCTCATACTCTTCTAACGTCCTAGCCATGACTGCCTTTGGCAGTGGGGGCGGGGGTTGGGGTGAAGGAACCAGCAACAGATGAGCACAGAAAGTGGAAGGTTCCTGCAGTGTGGGAGTGTTCGGAGCAGACACACTCTGACTGCTAATAGATGAGGAACTCTGCAAATCATCACCTTTGTCCCCACCCAGATGGTGTGAGGGGCCAGCGAGACTGTTCACTGCACCGTGGAGAGAATGGAAGCATGGTGCATATTCCAGCTCATGCCTCTGTTCTCGCTCACCTCTCTGGTTAGCTTTTGGTAACCCTAGCTGTGGTGCGCTGTGATGTGGTCCACCTCTGTCACATCACATTTCATCCTTAATCCTTCTTCCTGCTGCATTTCCTGGCATTACAGTCATCATCTGCAACTGTCAGGGGAGCAAGCTTCGATTTGAGACTGTCAACTGCCCTGTGATAAATTTGGGATATACCTAGTCCCCTTCCTCAGAGAATTTGGGTGTGAAGCTAAAGGCGGAGGAGAAAGGGTGAGAAAGATTGAAAGACAGAAAGTTTTGTTTTCGTTTGCTTTTTTCAAGACAGGATTTCTTTGTGTATCCCTGGCTGTTCTGGAACTAGCTCTATAGACCAGGCGTGCCTCGAACTCACAGAGATCCACCTGCTTCTGGGATTAAAGGCATGTGCCACCACCTTCCTCGGCTGGGAAAGTTGTTTTTAAATGCTATTGTCTAAGACCTAGGAAGCCCTCAGGAGAATTTTCCTGGTAATCAGCAGGATATTGTCTAAGACCTAGGAAGCCCTCAGGAGAATTTTCCTGGTAATCAGCAGGAAAATTTTGATCTTTTGTAATAAAGAAAGTCAAGTAGTACAGATTTTTCTCTTGTTACAGCAGTTAGAGCAGGATAACCCATTCCTGAAATTGGACAAGAAGGGGCCCAGAGGGTCAAGTCCCCCTCTGTCCTGGCTCAGCAACAACCATCCCCTGACTTATGACCTGTCTTCCCTTGCAGTCTACAATTTTCTACTTTTCCCAACTCAGTGAAGTTAGAAAATATCTTGGCTAAACCAGGCTTGAGTTTCAGAACCGATGGCCTGTTACGGAGACGTTTATCATGTGACATTCGTCATGTCTGTTAATATCTTCACCTTAGTTTTCTCTCCTGAAATGGGGATGACACCGCTTGAGCCTGATATTCCTAACAGTGCTGTGAAGGGCCCAGCGTATAGGTGCGCAGACATGGGAACACTGATTGAATATGCTAGCTAGGGATACGCCTGCCCTACAGAAGATCCCAACGTGGTGTTGGCCTTGGCCTTTCCATCTAAAGGCTTGTCACTAAGCCACATGAACTCTGGCTCTAGCCAGGAGACCAATTCCCTTCTGTGGATGGAATATAAACTGGCCCTCAAAGAACCAGGCGAGTACAATACCCTTCCTCTCCCATGCTTTTCTTCTCCTATGTATGTGGCTGTCTCTAGCACAACGAAGGGACCGTAGAGAATGGCATCCTTGGGTTTCTCATGCTGACACTGAAGGGGAGCAAGCAGAAATGTTTGCTGGAGTCCTGCCTGCAGCTCGTGGCCCCACTTTGACTCTGTCACTCTGTGGCTGGCTGTTCCTCAGTGGTCACTTCACCTCTCCAGGCAAAGTAGAGAGAGGGGAGAAGTTTTGTTTTGTTGTTCCTGATGCTTCAGTGGGTTGAATTAGAACCTTGCCAAATCAAAATATTCCCTTTGAGTGAGATGTCACACCGGCAAAGGCTTAGGTACAGAGAGCTTGCTTCCTTGCAAGACTCAGAAGTGAAGATCTCAACTTCTAGAAACATTTCCTTGTCCCCTGGTGATAAACAGAGGTGTTGGCCTTAGAACTGAAGGTCGTCACTCAGATGACCTTAGAACTAAAGGTCAACACTCAGAACTAAAGGTCAATCACACCGGGTTTAATCATGACATAACCACAGCATCCTTCTGTGAGACTGCACATGTTTCTCCTTGAAAATGTCTTTCTGTGGGTGGGTGCTACAAAATCCTGATGTCATGGTAGAAGCCATGTGACAGGAAGACCATTCTCTCCGGCACAGGGGAAGGGCATACCTCCACACCCACACAAATTGGGAAGATTCCTTTCCGATTCTTGCCTCAGCCTCTTTTCACATGTGCTGACTACCATCTCTTCCTTGTCGTGTTATAAAACTAAAGGAGGAAAAAGAGGTCAGTAAAACCTGACTCTTACCTCTCAACACTAAGTTAGATCTAAAGGGACAGCAGTTGCTTTTCTGTTTTTGAATTAGGGAACCAGGGCTTAATGTCTCTGCTATGATTGGTTGCCCTATCTACAAGAGTTTAGTGTATACCTGTTGTCTTGTGTTGTCAGTAGGTACTTCTGACCCTGGGTCTGTCCTAACAGGAAGTAGTTCAGTGATGATATCCTATTCCAGAGGTCATTAAACTTTTCTCTAAAGGGCCAGATTGCAAATACCTGAGGCTTTACACACCAGCAGGCAAAGAATCCAATACACTGTACAAGCTCATATAAATAAAAGAGAGGAAACAGATTTTTACAAAATTTCGATTGACAAAAATCCACAATGTAATAACTGCCTATCAATGTATAATGTATATCTGCTAATGAGTGGAATAGTGATTTTTTAGAAGGATAATATTTTACTTATGGTTTCAGGATTAGTGTACCCCATCACCAAATCAGTTAGTTGTAAAGGTTCAACTGAAAGTACTAATCTGAAGAGATTTTTACCTTTGAAAATGTCTTTTCACACCAACAAGTGCTGATTATTGACCCACACATAACGGTGTGATGTAGTTGAGTATATTGTTGCTTGTGAACCCCTCATGGGATTGTTAGGTCATTCTCTTGGTACTTTCCATCATTGCAGATTATCGCCTTCCAGTGGAGGGTTAGGAGGAAGCTTCCCAGTTGTACAGCTAGATTTGAGTTTTTGTTTGATTTTTTTGGAGGGGGTACCAGCAGTCCTTGGAACCACTATTTAACAGTGCTAGCCTTAACCTCCCAACTCTTTCTCCATCTCCCAAGCGCTCAAATTGCATGTTGTACATCAGTATATCCACCTCAGTTGGGTGGATTTGCACTTAGACCTGGGTCCATCCTATTTTTGTTTGTTTGTTTGTTTTTCGAGACAGGGTTTCTCTGTGTAGTTTTGGTGCCTATCCCAGATCTCACCCTGTAGACCCAACTGGCCTCAAACTTACAGAGATCTGCATGTGCCACTGCACCCAGCTGGTCCATCCTATTTTAAAAACTGTTTTACAGCTTATTAATCTTTGCAACACAGATTGCTAAACGGTCTTATTAATAAAAAAAAAAATCCAGAGCCAGATATTGGGATAAAAACCTAAGAGATCAGAGGAATAGGAAAAGTCACAGACAACCTCACCTCACTGACACCTCAGTCTCCAAAGAGACCTGCTTCCTGTATACCCACACCTATATTCCTTTTTGTTCTGCCATCTCATTTCCTCTCTCTGCCCACCTACATCACTTCCTGTCTGTCTGTACAGACCCCCAGACCTCTATGGTTAGTGCTGGGATTAAAGGCATGTGTCACCACTGCTGGTTCTGTTCCCCAGTGTGGCCTTGAACTCACAGAGATCCAGATGGATCTCTGCCTCCCAAATGCTAGGATTAAAGGCGTATACTACCATTGCCTGACTTCTATGTTTAATATAGTGGCTGGCTTTTTCCTCTGATCCTCAGATAAACTTTACTAGTGTGCACATTATTGGGGGACACAATACATCACCACAAATCTTATCATTGAAAATCTATCTGCTGGCCAGGCAGTGGTGGTGCACTGACTTTAATCCCAGCACTCGGGAGGCAGAGGTAGGCAGAGCTCTGTGAATTCAAGTCCAGCCTGGTCTACATAGTGAGTTCCAGAGCAGCCAGCAGCGCTATATAGAAAGACCCTGTCTCCAAAAACAAATATACAAAACAAAAACCATACATGCTCACCCCTGGTAAAGTCACTGAAGAACCTTCACAGCTGCTCGTTGTGAGCTCCAACACAGGCCTGTGTAGTCCTGACTCTACTCTTTTGTCTTTTGTTTTGTTTTGTTTTTTGAGACAGGGTTTCTCTGTGTAGCTTTGAGCCTTTCCTGGAACTCGCTTTGGAGACCAGGCTGGCCTCG